CAAAATAAATAAAAACCCGAAGGTGCAATGTCTGATGAATATAGTGGATGAATCAGAACTTCCCAGCCAAGCTGTAACAGTTTTTGCGTGGTCATCAAAGAAACATGTGGTCTTGCATTATCCTGATGGAAGATTATGCGATTTCTATTGACTAATTCTGGACGCTTTTCGTCGAGTGCTGCTTTCAGTTCAGAAGCAGTACTTGTTGGAATTAATCGTTTGGTTTTCCAGAAGGAGCTCATAATAGAGGACACCCTTCCAATCTCACCATATACACACCATCACCTTCTTTGGATGAAGACCAGCCTTTGGTGTGGTTTGGTGGTGGTTCATTTCGCTTGCCCCACAATCTCTTCCATTCTACATTATTGTACAGTATCCACTTTTCATTGCGCGTCACAATTTGTTTTAAAAACGAAACATTTACGTTTAAGTAGAAAATCACATGCAGAAATAAGGTCAAGAGGTTTTTTCCTGCTTAAGTTATGTGGAACCCAAACATCGAAGCGATTTAACATAACCAAGCTGGTGCAAATGTTTTTCAACTCTTGATTTTGGTATTTTGAGTATGCCGGCTATCTCCTGCATGGTATAATGTTGATTGTTCTCAATTAATGTCTTGATTTGATCACTATCAACTTCATCTGGTCTGCCCGACCGTGGAGCATCGTCCAGCAAGAAATCTCCAGCACGAAACTTTGCAAACCACTTTTGACACGTTCGATTAGTCACAGCACCTTTTCCATACACGGCATAAATCTTTCTTTGCGTTTCAGTTGCGCTTTTACCTTTCTTGAAATAATAAAGCATAATATGCCGAAAATGTTCCTTTTTTTCTTCCATCTTCAATATTAAAATGGCTACACAAAAATTCACCAGTTTTGATGTTTTCTTTTAAATGCACACTGATATGACAGCTGTCACAATACAGTCTAACCAAATTGTTTCTAATGAAGTAAAAGACAACTAAGCACTACTAGAGTCATCTTACGGAAGAAAACTGAACGAACTTTTTGGCCAACCCAGTATGTTGTTTTAAAACATTTTGAAGTCAAATGCATATAAAAATGGGTAAGATTTGGGCTTCCCTGGTGGCACAGTGGTTGGGAGACTGCCTGCCAATGCAGGGGACACAGGTTCGAGCCCTGGTCTGGGAAGATCCCACATGCTATGGAACAACTAAGTCAGTGTGCCACAACTACTGAGCCTGCGCTCTAGAGCCTGCGAGTCACAACTACTGAGCCCACATGCCACAACTACTGAAGCCTGTGCACCTAGAGACCATGCTCTGCAGTAAGAGAAGCCACCGCAATGAGAAGCCAGTGCACCGAAACGAAGAGCAGCTCCCACTCGCCGCGACTAGAGAAAGCCCATGCGTGCAGCAGTGAGACCCAGTGCAGGCAAAAATAAATAAAATGAATAAATTTATTTTAAAAAGTGGGTAAGATTTGATATTATAAGTTATTTATTTATTTATTTGATTGTGCCGGGTCTAGTTACGGCTCAAGGGCTTCTCAGGCGTAGTGGCATGCAACCTCTTAGTTGCAGGATGCATGTGGGATCTAGTTCCCTGACCAGGGATCAAACCTGGGGCCCCTGCATTACGAGCACAGAGTCTTAACCACTGTGCCACCAGGGAAGTCCCTATAAATTCTTATTTGAGGCTTTAAAAGTGTTCTCTTCTACTAATGTAATTGTGCCCAAATGAAATGTGTGAAATGACTTCATTTTCAGCTATTTTGTTTTTACTCATCTATTTCCCTTTTGAAATAATGTCCCAGTATAGGAGCAGAACCCATAATATAATAATAAAGTAATACAACAGTGTGTAAAAACTACATGTAACATTCTCATTTGACCAGAGAAGGGGACGTGGAGGTGCTGAGAAGACTGCTGAATGAGCCAGAGACCTGAGGTTAGGGACTGGGAGCCAGTGGGGGACTGAGATTTCAGTGACCAACAGCAATAGCAAGGTCAGTGGTCAACAGTGGTGGATGCTATCCAAGCTAAACAACCAGTTGTACCAGTCTGTCAGCTTCAAGTCTACCAGATCAGCATCCTCTGCAAAATCATCACCGACTGTCTGTTTCCCTGTCGTCTGGAGGTTTTTGTAAACTTTTGTCCATATCTACACCGTTTTGGGAAGGAAGGAGAAGGGAGGAACAACCCTGTTAGAAAGTTGAATTTTGAATTGCCTGAGTATTTACATTCCTTTTCCCTAGGTGGTCTTAGTGTTACTTAAACGAGGAGAAGAAAGAAGGAATGGAGTCTTCTGAGGAAGATTAGGAGTTATAGGAAGTAAAGAAATTGTATTACTTTGTAAACAAACAACACCCTCTAAACATACACACACGCGCGCACACACACACACACACACACAGAGTAAATGATATATTTAAAATGTTAGGTGATCTCTAAGTGCCAGGGTTACATAAGACTTTTTTTTCCTCTATACTTCTCAGAATTCTCAAACTATTCTACAGTGAACATAATACTTTTATAACCAACAAAATTCTTAAAAGTGTAACTAAAATCAAAAGACTTGTTCTCCAGGAAACTGAGAAAAAATAAAGTACCAACATGGGAAAGATCAAGATTCTTGCTTAAGGTCCATTACTTAAGAAATGGACCTTAGAGATCACTTAGAATCTAGATTCTAGATTAATACTATTCACTGTATCATCTGTAGGCCAGTGCTCATCCATGAACTGTTACTGGTTAATGATGAGATAAGGTTAAAAAAGAAATTAAGCTTTTAGAAACTTTTATAGCAGTTTGACATCACTGCTACATCCAAGTGTATGATCATTTTTCTAGTAATTGATTTTATTGTTTCTTTACAAAAGTATTGGTCCACAACCTGGTTGGAATGCTATAAAAACTTGGCAGCCCTATCAGTCTACCCATTTAAAAATATATTGATCTATGAAATGCAGAAATCTGAGAAGCAGTCATTCTGTCTGATCTTGTCTAACCCTTCACCGGTGTCTGTCTAACACAAAGTGTTAGTAGCTGCCAAGCACTATTGTAAATGCTTTATGAGTATTTGCTGGTTCAATCTTCATAACAACCCTATGCTGTAGGTACTGTTGCATTATCCCCATTTCATAGGAAACTGAGGCACAAAGAGGTTATGTTACTCACCCAAGGTTACACAGCTGTAAGTGGTAAAACTGGAATTTGAACCCAAGGTAGTCTGACTTCAGAGGCCATGTTATGCTTTGCAGCCACTCCACACTTTTAATGGGTGATTACCTACCATGTTTCTCAATAGAGGGTGCTGTTGGCTTGTTGAGTAGAACAAGTGTTCCACATAGTATCCCTCCCTGCCTGCCTGTCCCACTCACTGAATGCCCAATGAGGAAAAAAAAAAAAAAAAAAGCTCCCCTCTCCATTTCCAAATGTTTCCTTGGTTGAAAACCTTCTAGAACTGACCAGCATATTCCCTTAGTTGTAAGGTTCTATAGGAATCTGCTTTCTAACTTCTGGTTGGTCTTAGATCTGTACTTCGAAACTAGTAAAGTCTTTTTTCAGGACAAATATCTATCTGTGCACTGATCTGCATAGAGGATTTTTGGAGCCTTCCTTTTCTTGGTTGTTCTCCTTGGATCAGCATGTCATTACATTCCTTAAAACGAGAATATAGAGCCCAGTAAGGCTATTAATCACTTAATATAGATTCTGGGGCTTCCCTGGTGGCGCAGTGGTTAAGAATCCACCTGCCAATGCAGGGGACATGGGTTCGATCCCTGGTCCGGGAAGATCCCACATGCCGCGGAGCAACTAAGCCCGTGCGCCACAGCTACTGAGCCCGTGTGCTGCAACTACTGAAACCCACGCGCCTAGAGCCGTGCTCTGCAACGAGAGCCTCAACAAGAGAAGCCACCACAATGAGAAGCCCGCGTACCACAACGAAGAATAGCCCCCACTCGCCGCAAGCAGAGAAAAGCCTGCGCGAAGCAACAAAGACCCAATGCAGCGAAAAACAATAAATAAAATAAATAAATTAAAAAATATATATAGATTCTGTTTTTTTTAGTTACCCTTAACCTAGAATTACTTTGGTAGCAAATCATACTGTTAGCCCTCTTTGCACTTGTAATCATCTAAAACCCTGACTGAGGTCTGAGGTCTTTATCCTTTGAGTTACTGTTGAGCCAGATCTTGTTCATCTGGTTTTTTTAACAATTTAAGTTTTGAATATAAGTGTAGTACTTATAGGTATACCTTATTTCTTCTAAATTGAGTCTTCATTTTGGCTTATTGTTTTCCCTGAAGAGCCAGCAACACCCCCTGACATCCCCACCCACCCACCTTTAGTTCTGTCAGTAATCCATCAATTCTTCCTCCTCCTGTTGTCTGCAAAGTTGTTAAGTATACCTGTTGTATCTTTAGTCAAGTTACTGATTTAAAAATCTTCAACTCATGCCATGTCGTGGCATGCCATTACATATTTTCTTCCATTTTGGCAAAGATCCTTTATGTGATTCATTATTGACATTAATCTAGCTAACACATCTAATAATTCTGTGGTGGTCAAACTTGTATGCATGTATATGGTATGCATGTATATGGTAGATTGCAGTAAAGGATCTGGGATAATAGATAGTAAGGAAAATCTGCTTTTAGATAAGTAGATATTCTACTTAAAGATTCATTCTTACCTTATATGAGCTGGTACAGTAATTATTCAGGAAAAAAAGACCACCCCCCCCTCAGAAGTAGCTAAAGACTTATGTAATAAATGTATGAATAGATCAGAATTTGATTAAAGTAGGTTTATTCTTCACCATCTGTTAGAAAAGTCCTCTTGCATATTGAATATTGTTAGGGGGAAGCAGATCATCTTTGTGGACCTAGAAGCTTGGTGGGATTAAGACAGTAGTTTTGGGTGGATCTTTCGTTTCTTTTTCTTTCTTGTGAGAACTACCTCTTTTTTTTTTTCTCTCCCACCAGGTTCATTCTGTAAATTAAGGAAAAGCTTTATTCTTTTTTCTCAGCTTGCTGAACTAAAGCAGGAGTGTCTTGCTCGTGGTTTGGAGACCAAGGGAATAAAACAAGATCTCATCAACAGGCTCCAGGCATATCTTGAAGAGCATGGTGAGTTCTTTGCGGAGGCAAAGAGTGATGTGAGTGAGGGGATTAATTTTTTTTTAAATAAATTTATTTATTTTATTTATTTATTTTTGGTTGCGTCGCGTCTTCATTGCTGCCTGCAGGCTTTCTCTAGTTGCGGTGTGTGGGGGCTACTCTTCCTTGCGGTGCGCGGGCTTCTCACTGCGGTGGCTTCTCGTTGCAGAACACGGTCTCTAGGCACACAGGCTTCATTCAGTAGTTGGGCTCGCGGGCTCTAGAGCGCAGGCTCAGTAGTTGTGGTGCACGGGCTTAGTTGCTCCACGGCATGTGAGATCTTCCCGGACCAGGGCTTGAACCCGTGTTCCCTGCATTGGCAGGCAGATTCTTAACCGCTGTGCCACCAGGGAAGCCCGAGAGGATTAATTTTTAGGCTCTGCCATACAGAAGATTTCTTCTTTTCCTTTAGGTTGTTGATGATGTAAGATTTTAATTAACTCTATCAGGAAAACTCTTGTCATCTAAAACAGTGGTTACAATGAAAAGAAATACCCCCCTTTTAAAAAGACATTGTAATTTTATTTCAACAAATTATTTTCAAGGAAGTATGGGAAAGCAAGCATCATTAGACTGAGAATCGGAAGATTTGAAGTCTAATTCCTCTTGAGCCAGAAATTTACTAGGTAACTTTGGACAGCCACTGTTTTCATGGCTAAGTGTCTTTTGTAGTCTGTGAAGTGAGACAAGTGTCTGCACCCTTGAAATCCATAAACCTAAGTAATCTCTGGTCCCTTCTAGCTCTGACATTCTCTAATTCCACTTTAAAAAACAAACAAACACTTCATTTAAGGCATAGTATCATCCCTCTCTAATTTTAATTTATTCCCTTTTATTCCCATTCCTTTTATCCCAACTCTCTTAGGCAACTGTTCTAATGTGTTTGATATATATTTTTTGTCTTTGTCCTTATAAACCGTGTCGTGTTGTTTGGTCTACAGTAATTTTATGTAATTGGCAATGAGGCCATAGCCTTACTTTATTGCATTCTTTTTTCTCCAAGTACTGTGTGTTTTTTTGTTTGTTTGTTTTTGGTTTTTTCTTTTGTGGTACGCGGGCCTCTCACTGTTGTGGCCTCTCCTTTTGCGGAGCACAGGCTCAGGACGCGCAGGCTCAGCGGCCATGGCTCACGGGCCCAGCCGCACCGCGGCATGTGGGATCTTCCCGGACCGGGGCACGAACCCGTGTCCCCTGCATCGGCAGGCGGACTCTCAACCACTGTGCCACCAGGGGAGCCCCAGTACTGTGTTTTTTTAAGATGTAGCAGTCATCTAGTCTATTGATTCTAATTCCTGCATGGTATTCTATAATGTAAAGAATTCACCGTGGGCTTCCCGTGAGCCATGGCCGCTGAGCCTGTGCGTCCGGAGCCTGTGCTCCGCAACGGGAGAGGCCACAACAGTGACAGGCCCGCGTACGGAAAAAAAAAAAAAAAAGAATTCACCATGTTTTATTTAGTTCACCCAGTGACTGACTCCTGAACTACTTCTTTCATATTCCTTTATATTCCTGTGTGAGAGTCTTGGGGGTATGTACCCAGGAATGGGGTTGCTAATAAATATCTGTTCATAAATGTACACTTAATATGACTAAACACCACTAAATTGTTTTCCTCAATTGCTGTATAAATTTCATCATCAGCACATGAGGATTCACTGTCCTAACAAGTGGCCTAATTTTTGGTAATCTGTTAGTGGTTTCAGTTTACATTCCTCTACTTACTAAAAAGTTTAAACATGTCCTTTGTTCGTGGTTCTTTGGCTTTCTCCTTTGCCCATTTTTCTTTTGGGGTTCTCATCGTTTGCTTGTTAGTTCGCAGGCATATCATATATTCTAGTGACTCTTCCCATGTTGGTTTTAGATACAAATATCTTCTTTGACAGTCTTTTCTTTTTCTGTGGTATCCTTTCCTATTTTGGGGTGGGTTTTTTTTGTACTTAAAAAAAATATCATCTTAATCTTTTTTTTATTAATTATTTTTTGGCTGTGTTGGGTCTTCATTGCTGGCCGTGGGCTTTCTCTAGTTGGCGGCAAGCAGGGGCTACACTTTCATGGCATTGGGCAGGCTTCTCATTGCAGTGGCTTCTCTTGTTGCGGAACACGGGCTGTAGGCGCACGGGCTTCAGTAGTTGTGGCACACGGGCTTAGTTGCTCCGCGGCATGTGGGATCTTCCTAGACCAGGGCTCGAACCTATGTCCCCTGCGTTGGCAGGCAGATTCTTAACCAGTGCGCCACCAGGGAAGCCCCCTTTCCTAGTTCTGAAAAATAAGTTTTTTGCATAGTACTTTTGCTTCTGGGTTTTTTTTTTTGTTTTTGTTGTTTTGGAAATTCTTCCCCACCACTAAATTCTGCCACAGTACTTTTTAATTAATGTTATAGTTTGACCTCATCATGTTTAGTTCTTCAGTCCAGCTGGAGTTCAGCCTCTTAATTGATGTTAGTTAGGTAAAGAATATAGTTTTTATCTCCTCCACGTGGAGCAAATTTTATGAACATTTCTGCCTTCATTATTGAATTTTATTTTGGGAAAGCAAAATGATTATAATTTTAGCCTAGGTACAGTGATCAAGATGGTTTTGTAGCAGGGCTTGACCTGATTATTTTAATATTCTTTAGCTGAAGAGGAGGCAAATGAAGAAGATGTACTGGGAGATGAAACAGAGGTGAGTTGGAGAGAGTAAGGTTAGTCACTGGCCTGGCAGTGTGCCACTGCCTTGGTCACGTTGCTAAACATCAATCATTAGAGGGCTTCAATGCTAACTCGTTAGGGGAGCATAAAGGGGGAATGAAGGTTCTGAAAGATTGGTTCGTTTTGGAGTTCTTATATTCTTCTTTTGATAGGTATTTACTCTTGATTTATTTTAACCATCTTGTTTCATTTGGTTTTAGGAAGAAGAACCGAAGCCCATAGAACTGCCTGTCAAAGAGGAAGAACCTCCTGAAAAAACTGTTGATGTGTAACTATCCGTTTTGTATAATGAGGACAGAGCAGACGGTTTTGGATTTTTTAGTGTTACACTCTGTTGACCTCTTGTACATTCCCATTGGAATGTATACATTCCCTTTTTTTTTGTTTAATTTGGTTGCATCGGGTTTAGTTGTGGCTTGCTTGCTCCTTAGTTGTGGCATGCGAACTCTTAGTTGCGGCGTGCATGTGGGATCTAGTTCCCTGACCAGGGATTGAACTCAGGCCCCCTGCACTGGAAGGCGGATTCTTTACCACTGTGCCACCAGGGAAGTCCCCCATTGGCTTTTTCATTTCTCATTAGATCATACATTTTCAGAAAGGTCTTGTTCATTTCAAGTACATGGTCCCAGTGAAGCAAAGTAACTTTGTCTCTGGGTTATGTGATAGATACTTAGGACCAAGAGACTTCAAGCCCAGATAAAGTTTAGTTCTCTTAGCCTTTGTTGTATCACCGTAATAGATGATTCTTTTTCTGTATAGAGAATCATGCACATTTTCTGCATATAAGGAATTTTGTAAGGGAAGAGGGTGCTGAGCAAGGTTATGTCTCAACACTGTATTCTCTTTTCCTTTTTGATTTACAGTGGAGGAGGGGAGGACAAAGTACTAGAGTGAATAGTGGATCTTGATTTATTTAAATTATTACACAAGGTTGATCATAAACTTTTTTTTTTTTTTTTTTGCAATACGCGGGCCACACTGTTGTGGCCTCTCCCCGTTGCAGAGCACAGGCTCTGGAGGCGCAGGGTCAGCGGCCATGGCTCACGGGCCCAGCCGCTCCGCTGCATGTGGGATCTTCTCGGAACGGGGCACGAACCCGTGTCCCCTGCATCGGCAGGCGGACTCTCAACCACTGCGCCACCAGGGAAGCCCGATCATAAACATTTTTTATTTGGGGTTTCCCCGCAAATGTCCGGCCATCTTATACTCCAGCATGTCAAGAGCAGTTGAGTCCTTTTTAACATTTTTGTTCCTCGTAGCTGTATTAATCCATTTAATTATAAAAGACAAAAAAAAAAGACAATAGATGTAAAAAGTCAAAGTCAAACATTACATAGAGGAATATATAAATTGAAAATTAAGTATCCTTGTCTCCACTCCCACCTGACTTCCCAGAGGTTTTCAATATATTCTTTTGGAATATTTTATATGTGCATATACAGATACATATGTACATGCATATTGTCAGTTTCTTGATTTTTTTTCACATATGGAGATCTTTCTATATCATCATATAATGTCTTTATTTAAATATTAGTTATAGGGACTTCCCTGGCAGTCCAGTGGTTAAGACTCCATGCTTCCACTGAAGGGGGCACAGGTTTGATCCCTGGTTGGGGAACTAAGATCGTGCATGCCTCATGGCACGGCCAAAAAAAATTAGTTATATATAGGCAAGGTTCTAAGTGTTTTACATGTATTCTCACTTAATCGTCACATCAACGCTATGAAATGAGGATAATTATCCTAGTAAGTGGTAGGTCTCTCTCTTTTTTTTAGCTTGTTGTTATGGGATATTACAAGTATATACAAAACTTAGGAGAATAGTAAATAGACCCCCATGAACCCATCACCTAGGTTTAGTTGTTATCAACTTAGAATCTCATTCTTTCTGGCAGCTAACAGTACTCCATTCTATGGATGAACAGTAATTTCACCAGTCTCCTGTTGATGGACATTTAGATTATTCATAATTGCAAAAAATACAGTGCATGTTCACATACAACTAATTGTAGATTTATGCAGGTATATCCAAAGGATAAGTTTCTAGCAATGGATTTTCTGCATTAGAGAAGATGTGCATTTAATGTTTTATTAGATTTTGTCAAATATTACTGCTTTCTAAAGCCATTTAGTTATCATCCATCATAGGAGGTTTATGTTTAGATATAATGCCTTGAGGAAATGGCCGATGGGCTAGCTTTAAAATAGAGATGTTTTGGGGAGTTATGGGGCGAGAAGGAAGATGAAATAAATACAATGATAATTGGCCTGTGTGGGTTAAAAATTATGAAGTTTGAAAATTTGTAGTTTATTTTTATAATATGTAAAATGTGTAATTCCCTTGTTTAGAGGGCTTTAATTTTATCAGTGAATTTCTAAACAAAGAAATTGAAAATGTGTGTTTGAGGGGTTGTGTTTTTGCTTGTTAGAGGGATAGTAGTGGTTAGACTAAAGTATGTACAGAAAGATTCTGGGTCCCCATAGTATGGAGAATGTTTTGTATGTGACTATGGGTAGGGGCGAAACTTCTGAGTGAAGAGAAGAAATTTCACATGAGCCCCAGGATATGATGTTATTTATTGCTTGAGCTTAATTGTGCCTGAGGGAGTTGGAACAGAGCTGAAGGAAGCTTCTTCTTTCTGGTTCCCTTTCTGCCATGAAGTGTACTGATGGGAATGTGGAGGAAGTCATTAGCCTGGGGTTTGGTGGAGAGGACTGCTATTTTAATGGCATTGGACTTCAAGTAGAACATTAAACTTCAGTGTCCCTTTCTGCCTGAACAAAACAGAGGATTGGGGAAGGAAAGATGGCTGGGAAATGGAAAGAAATCGGAAATTTCTTTAAAAGTCAGAATGTACAGGGCTAATTTAGGTCCTCAGAACATTCAAAAGGAGATCCCCTTGCTTTGTCTTTTGCTTGAGTTTCTCCAAAAAGATACCTCTGTTTCTAGTTTGATTTTTTTCCCCCCTCCTCAAGCCACAGCAGTTAAATATTGCAGGACTTAGTTATGGTCAGCAGGGGGCTCCCACTGCTTATCTGTCAGTCCAGGGACCTCCAACAAAAGGATGGAGGAGAGAATAAGTTCCTGTTCCAGAATTGCTTCCTCTGAAAATGCCATTAAACCATTACTACCTTTCAGGGCATCAAATGGGAAAAGTGTCTGGGATATTGGAACAAAAGCCTCCCATGTCTCTAAATGAGGGACCTTAATGAGACTGGTTATGACCCACAGTTTTATGGGAGTTGTTTGGTGGAGGGTTAATGCCCTTCCATTTATCCTGAGTACTTCCGAACTTTGTCTCCCGCCCCCCTGGTCCCCCCTCTTTTGTTTTCTCTTAAACCTTTTGACTGGTAACTTACCATGTTTTCCTAATTCAAACTCCCCTTAGCCTTTTTTCTTCCCACTCCCTTTGGCATTTTTATTTATCCCACTTTGACTGTTCCAGCTGGAGCTACGGTCCCATGGGAGATATAAGGGATTTGTAAAAGAAGGAAACCAGACCTTGTAGAGCACTCATTAATTGTGATGAAAATTGAGAGCTGGTGTTTAAATGAGGGTTAGAGGAATAGTCATTAGTCCAAAAGTACATTTAAAGTTTCTAAAAGTAAATGAAATGATTTCCGGTGTACTTTGAGCATTTCCCTCAGTTCAGTTTATTTAACCAGACTTCTTTCCTTGTTACTTTCTTATACTCTAGCAAAGTAGCTTAGTCTGTTATTTAAACTCTTTTATCAGTAGACGACACTTCAAGGAACTAAAGGTCTAATGGGCTTCATGTTTTTTTGGTCTGAAGGGTGGTAGAGAGATATGGGACAGAGGACATGATTCAGGTGAATTCTTATACACTTCAAAGGTTTTGGTTTAGAATATCAGTCTTCTGATTTTAAAAATCCCTTTTCCAGGGCAGCAGAGAAAAAAGTGGTAAAAATTACATCTGAAATACCACAGACTGAGGTAGGTATTCTTTCAGAAGAGCAGTCTCTATATATATATCTTTCTGTTTCTTACCCTTTATTTTGTCTGTATCATCACTTTAAAATATTTACTCATAGGCAGAAAATCAGTATTGACAGATTTTGGTATTGATACATTTTTCTACCAGCCACACTTGGGAATATATTTGGGCTGGCATAGTCACCTTTGAGGCCGTAGTCTTTTTGTATAGTATTCTGGTCTTAGTGGTAACTCTTTTTAAGATGTTTACAAACTAAGATTAGAGTTTGAGAGGATTGTACCTTGGAAGAGATGAAAAGTTATAAGGGAAGATGTCACTCTTAAGTTACTACTAGCTAGCTGGTGAGATTGAAATTTCTCTGGATCCTATCTCAATATCTGTGAAAGTAGGTTTCAGTGAAGATCTGTGGGGTTTTTTTGTACTATTAAAGTAGAGATGGCATAGGACAACGCTGCCTCATTTCTAACTGAAAGAGTACAACTAGTGTTGGAACCAAGCTGTTCCTTTGATCCATTTTCAAAGGTCAGTCAAACACAGCTTTTGTCTTCTTGGCTTGATACAGAATGCGGGTTTTATTTTATTCCTTCCCTTTTGTTTTTGAGGACATGAATGTAATAATAGTCTTTTTGTGTTTGCTTTCTGGAAAGGACTGTTGAGTTAAGCCCTGGGATGGATACAACCTGATATCCTCTGTGATTGTCAGTATAACTCAGTTTGGACCTTAAGAAATTAATCCCGATGTTCTAGAGATACACACCTCTAAATGACTTTTCTCTTAAAAGAAGGAAACCAGAAATTGAATTTTTCTCTTTCCCTTCTTTTGTCTGTTATCACTTAGAGGATGCAGAAGAGAGCTGAACGATTCAATGTACCTGTGAGCTTGGAGAGTAAGAAAGCTGCCAGGGCAGCTAGGTGAGTGTTCCCAGCTTTTTAGACCTGAGATCGTGGTAATATGAAGGTGAGGGAATGTGTTCCTAGGTTTTAAATATAGTTGTTGATTTTAAGTAGAATAGAGGCCTTGCTGGAAAGAAATACTCTCTCGGCTCTATTCAGAACGTATCTGCTGATTGGTTGTAGTAGCTATAGATTGGGTTTTGTTATCAAGCAGGGTTTTTGTAATAGGTAAAAGTCAGGAACTGACTGCTACTCCCAGTTCTGATAAGGCTACCTTTTAACTTATTCTCTGGACACTTGGTGAGAAAAAGAGTCAACTGAACCTCTTTCATGGGGTTGTTAGAATTAGCTAATGATTGCAAGGCTTGAGATCACAAGCAAGAAGTGCCATATGTATACTTGACACGGAGACAGACAACCAGGAGTGTGAACAGCTTCCTAAAATTTAGCTTGTTTTTCTTTCTACAGATTTGGGATTTCTTCAGTTCCATCAAAAGGTAAGAGTACAGAGACTTCTGAGAAAGTTATCTTTATGTTTTTACTTTTTTGGCACAACAGATTCCATTTCTCCAAATTAAGGTAAACTTGTTAGCTCTAGAAGCCTGTAAGAGGTTATTATATCCACCTCTTTGCTCTAGGTAAAACCATACTTAAGCCTTCCTGGGCAATTTAGAGAAGGTGCTAAAGTTATGAGAGAATAGGAGGAAGTGCCAACATTTGTTTTCCTTTTCTTGGATCTCTTCAGAGAAGTTTCTAATACCTTCTTTATTCTGATGTCTCAAGTTAGCATGTAATTATTGTGTACCTGTCCAGTGTTATATTGCCTAGTGTGAGTGGCAAAAGGAAGAAAAGAGTCTCTTTTATTTTTTTTTTTCTCTTTTACCTTCTAGGAATTTACAAGGGAATAATCTTGGGTAAAAGACTTAGCCACAAGGATTATCACAGCGTTATTTATAGTGATCAATAACTGGAAACAATGTAATATACAATAGAGAATTGGTTGAGTAAATGTGTACCATAGTACAGTTAGAAGACCATGAAGATGTTTAAAATTATACTGAAGAATATTTGTCAGACAGATAAATGGAAAAAGCAAGTTATAAGATATTTGTAGTATGTTCCTATTTCCCAATAAAAGTGCAAGTATGGTTAGGAAAAAAGATTAGAGGGATATATACTAAATTGATAACATTCATTGTCTCTGGTGGTGGAATTTTGAGTGACTTCTTTTTGCTTGTCTATGTTATTAAAATTTCTACATTGACTATGTATTTGTAATAAATTAGGGGGAAAAGTTACTCTTTTTATTTTATTTTTATTATTATTTTTACTTTATTTATTTATTTTTGGCTGCATTTGGGTCCGTTACTGCTCATGGGCTTTCTCTAGTTGTGGCGAGCGGGGGCTACTGCAGTGTGCGGGCTTCTCATTGCAGTGGCATGTCTTTGTTGTGGAGCATGGGCTCTAGGTGCCTGGGCTTCAGTAGTTGTGGCACGCGGGCTCAATAGTTGTGGCTTACAGGCTCTAGAGCGCAGGCTCAGTAGTTGTGGTGCGTGGGCTTAGTTGCTCTGCGGCATGTGGGATCTTCCCAGACCAGGGATCAAACCTGTGTCCTCTGCATTGGCAGGCAGACTCTTATCCACAGTGCCACCAGGGAAGTCCCTCAGAGACTTTAAATGTAGTCTTCTGATCCAATGCAGTCTTCCTAGTGACCTGTTAGTAGTGTCAAGTCTGTTAAGAAAATGTCCTCCAAAGATCTCGTAGAGTTTTGCTATGCCTTTTAAAAGACCAGCAAGGGACTTCCCTGGTGGTTCAGTGGTTAAGACTCCACCTTCCAATGCAGGGGACGCGGGTTTGATCCCTGGTCGGGGAACTAAGATCCCACATGCTGCAGGGCAGCTAAGCCCATACACCACAACTAGAGAGCCCGCTTGCCCCTTAACTACTGAACTTGTGTGCTCTGGAGCCCGTGTGCCACAACTAGAGAAGCCTACGTGCCACAACGAAAGATCCCACCTGCCACAAATCAGACCCAATGCAGTCAAAATAATAAATAAGTAAAAATAAAAGACCAGCAAAATTCTGGTCACTGTCACTACATGCTTTAGAAACAGAATATTCTCTGACATTTAGTTATATCAAGAGAGAGATAATAGGATTGGTGATGGTACAACAGAATTTTTTAATATTTATTTATTTATTTGGCTGCACCAAGTCTCAGTTGCAGCACACAGGATCTTCGTTGCCACGTGCAGGATCTTTTTAGTTGTGGCATGCAGGATCTTTAGTCGAGGCATGTGGGATCTAGTTCCCTGACCAGGGATTGAACCTGGGCCCCCTGCATTTGGAGTGTGGAGTTCTAGCCACTAGACCACTAGGGAAGTCCCAAAAGTTTTTAAAGATATTATTAAATGGTGCTATTTGAAGAAAGGCAAAAGTTAAAATTAATACTTAGCCTGAAGAGGAAAACTGACCAATAAAATAATGTGTAGGTAACATTCAGTGTTATTCATATAATCCTAGAACTACAGAGTAGCTCTTAAAAGAGTAGAATTTGGCAACATGTAAAAGGAAATACTGTTTTATGAGTGAGGACATAAAAATATGTAACAGTTCCTAGTACATAGGTTATGGTAAAAGTTGAGTCCATACCTGAAAGTTTACAGTGGAAAGTTAGGGAACCAATTACAATATTGAGATTGCTTAAAATAAAATTCTGAGAAGTTTTAAGTAAATAATTATTGACTAGATTGGGGTTGGGCCTACAGGCTAATATACTATTTGCTTCTTAGTGATAATTTCAGGACAGAACATTCGCTTTAAGAAGCCATAATTTTAACTCATTATAATAGTAACTCTGGTCTTTTGTCCAGATAAGATGTTTTTCTCTTCTTTTTAACAGCTTTATTGAGATATAATTCATATATCATACAACTCATCCATTTAAAGTATATAATTCAGTGTTTTTTATATATTCACAGGGTTGTACAGCTATCATCATAGTCTAATATTAGGACATACTCATCATCCCCAAAATAAACCCCATACCCATTAGCAGTTTTTCTCATCTGCTCCCTCTGCCCCACCCCACTAATCAACCACTAAGTTTTTTCTATATATGTAAGTTTGCCTTCATATAAATGGTATCATACAATTCATGGTCTTTTGTGACTGGCTTCTTTCACTTAACATAATGTATTCCAGGTTTATCCCTGTTTTAGGATGTGTCATTACTTCATTTCTTTTTATTGTTAGATAATCTTAGGTTGTATTGATATATCACATTTTATCTACCCCTCAGTTGATGCACATTTGGGTTTTCATTTTGTGGCTACTATGGCTAATGTTGCTGTGAACATTCATATACAAGTTTTCGTGTGGATATATGTTTTCATTTCTCCTGGGTATATACCTCGGAGTAGAATTGCTAAGTCATATAGTAAACTCCATGTTTAACTTTTTGAGGAACTACCAAACTGTTTTCCAAAGTGGCTGTACTATTTTATGTTCCCAACAGCAGTGGGTGCAGACATGGTCTCTAGATGTAATCTGTGCCTTTTCTTTAACTTCATATATTTGTCCTATATATGATTTCTATGCTATCTAACTTGATTCAAAGACATCAGCTTCCTTTATGACTTTTAAGAATATTAAATAAAACTTTTAAATTTATTTCTTTAGGCCTGTCATCTGATGCCAAGCCTATGGTAAGAAATCTTTTTTTTTTTCTTAACCTTGAGAGCCAAATCTTAACTCTGTATAGTTAGTTAAGTTACAGATTTCCTTCTCCCCAGATCAGAGGAAGCTGAGATAATATGAGTTTGGTGACTGTTTTCAGTACAGTGTCTTATGTCCTAAATAGAAAGAATTGTTTGAGGCACTGAGAGGTCAGGAAAATTGCTGCATCTTCAAAGTCATTATAAACATCTTCCTTCCTACCACTCCTCTTGAAAAGGGTAGATTTTGTTAGCTAGAGGGCAATCCATATAACTCTTTGTTTTATGGTACTGGAGTTTTAGGGCCTCATGCAGTGGCTTTGGATAATGTCAGACTCTTAATTACCACAAGAGAATCTGTGGAAGCAACTTATGAGTTCTATTTTGTAGATACTGATAATTTTCAACACTACCTGTCAAATACCAGAGAATGAAGACTAGGATAGTACGCCTTCTGGACCATTATGACTTGTCAGCATGTTTAGAAAATGCAAGCAAATGCTGTGAAATATGTGTAGCTTTATGAAATCCTGCTCTTGGAATTACAGTTTAATAATATAAGTGAAGGTGAAATGTTTTAGTAGTAGTAGTAGAAGTTAGTAGCAGTAGTAGTAGTAATGATAATGTCCCAAATATCCTTATGATATGTCTTCTATATCAAGGCTTCCAAGAAAAAGGAAGGAAGAAAATTGAATTGGGTACTGGTAGTAGATTTGTGTTCTGAAGAACGGAGAGCTGCAGTGATAGTTTCTCTTTGCTAGGGCATAGGGTTAAGAACTACTTGCAAAGGCTATGTATAGGAATTAACAATTTGGGACTGTGAATGATGGACTTGTTTGGAGGTGATGATTTAGACATTTGTTTGCTTTTTCAAGCAGTGTTTGGCCTACTTTGATCTTAAACCCTCCCTAGGCTTTTGCCACCTTTGATGAATGAAAGAGGCAGGGCTGAATCTTTCACTGCATTCCAGGAGAGAACTTTTAATAATTAGTGGCATGGATGAGTGCTGCTTAGTTTCCTAATTTGGCACATAGGGTATCTTTGATGTTGTATAGGCTTATTTGAATTCTTAGCTTTGGACCATAGTTTGTGCCTTCTGTGTTTTCTGTTTTGATTTTTTTCTTTTTTAAAATTTATTTATTTTTGGCTGCATTGGGTCTTCATTGCTGCGTGCGGGCTTTCTCTAGTTGGGGTGAGCAGGGGCTACTCTTCGTTGCGGCACCTGGGCTTTTCATTGCGGTGGCTTCTCTTGTGGAGCACGGGCTCTAGGCGCGCAGGCTTCAGTAGTTGTGGCGCGTGGGCTCAGTAGTTGTGGCTCGCAGGCTCTAGGGCATAGGCTCAGTAGTTGTGGGGCACAGGCTTAGTTGCTCCGCATGTGGGATCTTCCTGGACCAGGGCTCAAACCTGTGTCCCCTGCATTGGCAGGCAGATTCTTAGCTACTTCGCCACCAGGGAAGTCCCTGATTTTTTTTTTAAATATTTTTTTCCTATGTTTTTTGTAGGTTAACCTGGATAAGTTAAAGGAAAGAGCTCAAAGATTTGGTTTGAATGTCTCTTCAATCTCCAGAAAGGTAAGGTACTATTTTTGCAACATTAGAGCAGCTTGGGGCTACATAGTTTGGAAATGACTGTCCTAAGAATAGAACTGGCTACTCAGCACTTCATTTAATGCAGTCCTTTGACTATCACCTCCTCTCACTGACTATTGATTACATTATGGCTATTGTTTAACAAAGTTAATTGTTTTTTTCTACAGATTGTTTGCATAGCTGCCATGCTGGCTGTTAGAACAAGGTTTATATTTCTCTTTGTTGAGTTCAGTGACGTTACATCTGCTTTAACTTCTGATATAGGCATAATGGAAATTAAATAATCAGGGGAAGACAGTCTTGTCTTTAGGTCAAAGGTACCTAAAAGTAAAATTTGGAGGTTCTTTGGAACAAAACTGAGAAAATTGTTTCATTCTTTCTGCCCCTCTGCTAACTGATACTGTTTAGTGTAAGCAAGATGACTTTGTTGACACCATGCTGTGGGGAGTGATCAATTCTACAGGGCATTGTTATGTTTGGAGTTTTGCTATGCACAATGGAGAAAATGCTAAGGACTTTCCTGTTTGCCTAGAGCCGGTAGTCTCTTAATCTTTGTTCTGTGAGAATGAGAGCACGTTTCTTGGTTGTTCAAGTGGTGGCAGGATTAAAGGAAGACTATTTCAAACCAGAAAAACCATCATTAGGAAAAAAAAAATTATTTCCCACTAAATATGCATTTAGCTCTCTAGAAATCCATTAGAAAAAACTTACCTGACGGTAGTTATATTTTTGCTTAGAAAAGAAAAATTGAGTATATAAAAATAAACATTAGTTGTGTCCCTGTGAGACTCATAACCTTGTACACAACTGTGCTTCATCTTCCTTCCCTTTGGGTTACATTTTTTGTGTTTACCAGAAATATAATATCATGTCTTTTTGCCCAACTTGATGCTGAGACCATCGGTATTCAGTAGGAGTATTTGGTGGTTTATGTGGAATAAAGTAAAGGAGTTGAGAGGTAGGCAGAATATATGATTCTTAAACCACAAGCAGCTTAATAGGGAAGAATTATTATAAACCAGAAGTCATTTGTGTTTTGCAAGATGGTCAGGGGAAAAGGTGCCTTGGATCCGTGGCCCTTCTTATCATCTATCTCCTTGTTTTGTATATGAGGCCTAGGTATCTGAGAATCTCATCAATAACTTCACTCCATTAGGGAATTGTATGAGTTTGTGTGTTGGAGGACGGAGGGAACAAAAGGTACCCACTGAACTGAGAAGGTATCTTGATACTGAAAAATGAGGCAGGCAGCTCCATATATATAATCAATGGAGCAGTTTATTATAGGGTAACTTACTTACAGGGTAGGATGAGGTAGACGACAATCTGGAAGCATTCACAGCTGCACTCCACACTGCTGAGGGGCCATTAGGCCAATTTTATACTTAAGTTAACCCAGGGTTTGGGGGTACATGCTTGGAAACAGGAAGTGCATTCCCAAGTCAAGATTTATGAATGGGTAACTAGTCTTGTGGGCACCATGAATATATCAGTGAAGGTCGTCATTGTTGTTTAGAGACTAACAGAGTATAGAGACCACCCAGACCTAATGATCATTAAACAATATCTATTAACTACAGAGCCCTTGATGACAGAGAAGAGTTGTACTACACAGTACAGCCCTAGGTAGAGTCAGTGGAAGGACAGGAAGAACTGAATGGACACAAGATGGCATCAGTTATGCCAACAGCCATACATTGTGTGTTCTATCAAAATAAACAAAATTGAACACGATATCTCTTACAACTTAGCTCATAGGGACACATTCCTAAGAGGAATTGTCTGTCACTCTGTGCTGCCCACCTGAGTTATACAAGGATATCAGTCTTTTCCCTTCCCTTCCCTGGAATCTTTCTCTATATTTGACCTGTTTTCAGCCTCCACAGGAGGCTGAGTAAAACATGAAGGGATACATTTATTGATTTTGAGCAAATTACTAAACTTCTTTGATCCTCATCTATAAAACTGGGAGTAACACCTAACATCATGTTTGTGTAGAATAAATGTATATTTGTAGTTCCCTAACATAGTGACACTTTGACCCTCTATAAATTTTATTTTTGTTTTTATGTATTTTTAATGTATTTTTTAATGCTTTAAAATTTTTATTTATTTACTTTTTTTTTTTGGCTGCGTTGGGTCTTTGTTGCTGCGCGCAGGCTTTCTCTAGTTGTAGCGAGCAGGGACTACTTTTTGTTGTGGTGCGTGGGCTTCTCATTGTGGTGCGTGGGCTTCTCATTGTGGTGCCTTCTCTTGTTGCAGAGCTCGGGCTCTAGGTACACGGGCTTCAGCAGTTGTGGCACCAGGGCTCAGTAGTTGTGGCTCTCAGGCTCTAGAGTTCAGGCTCAGTAGTTGTGGCGCACGGGCTTTGTTGCTCCGCAGCATGTGGGATCTTCCCGGACCAGGGATCAAACCTGTGTCCCCTGCATTGGCAGGAGGATTCTTAGCCACTGCGCCACCAGGGACGTCCAGACCCTCAATACATTTTAGTTTCCTTCCTTGGTTTTCAGTTCTGGTTTTATCACTTTGAGTCAGTTAACTTCTGTGTTTCAGTTGATCATTGATAGGATTACAGTTCCCATTTTAAATTCTAAAGGGTTAAAATGAGATAATAGTAATTGGCAGAACTCTAACTGTATGAGCTCTGTTCTCTAATAACATTCATTGTCACACATATGTTCTAGAGTAGTGCTTTGCGAATTCTGTGACGAAAGACTAGTTTTTAAAAATTTCCAATTCATTGTCGAGAGGTACTTTTGCGAAATAAAATAAAAATGTCAAAGAAATGTTAAATTACTTGGAAGTTTCTAAACACTCTCAATTTCTGGACTTATTTCTAGACTGATAAACGGTTTAGGGATCAAGCACTAGGAGGCAGACCACATTTTGAGTAGCACTGTACTAGAGTATACACAGTTTCTTCCAAGGACCACTTTGCTTGGAGGCTTGTGACTTTCTGAGATGTCCTTTTTGAGTATAGGTTCCATTTACATTGATCATAAATCCTGATTTTCAGAATTATCCTAATTTCAATGGTTTGTTCTAAGTTGCCTCACAAACCATTAAAATGTCCCTGCTATTTTGCTATCTAGACCACCACTGTTCAGTAGAACCTTCTGTGATGATAGAAATATTCTACAAAATATTGTTCTATTAAATAATCTGTTATCTAATATAGGCATATCTCAGAAATATTGTGGATTCAGTTGCAGACCACCACAATACAGTGAATATTGCAGTAAAGTGAGTCACAAATAAGCAGTGTACATACCTAAATTGAAAACTACTTTATTGCTAAAATAAAAGTGCTAACCATCATCTGAGCCTTCAGCAAGTTGTGATCATTTTGCCAGTGGAGGGTCTTGCCTCTATGTTGACGGCTGCTGACTGATCAGGATGGTGGTTGCTGAAGGTTGGGGTGGCTGTGACAGTTTCTTTTCTTTTCTTCCTTTTTTTTTTGCCAAAAATGCATTTTTTATTTAAAAAGTTCTTGCTTTTAATGTCCTCAAACAACCAATGCAACCAAGTGGCATTCTGAACCTCAGACTGCCAAGGAGTGACTAAGATGCAGCTGAAATAATTGTGTTGTAAGATAATTTATGCTTATTATTTATTTTTAAAAATTCAGCTTTATATACGAAAACAGATGTTTCAGTTCCTTCCTAAATTTAGTACAAAATGCAGTGTATAGAAATATTATATCTATTCCTTGTTCCTGAATGTTACTTTCACATAATTAATAGATTCTCCAAATTACTTTGCATTACAAAATCACTTGAAGTAGAATTAAGGATGGGACAGATATATAAATTACATTATAAAATTAATTTTATAATGTAAAATTTTATAATGTAAAATAAATCATCTTTGTCCAGGAGTTGTACAAAATGAAGGAAATATTATATGTAGTTTAATATATATGTAGTAAATATAAATCATATGCTGTGTGGAGTTCTAGACAAATGTGTTTCCTAGGCAATTTCTTAAAATAAAACAACAATGGGGCTTCCCTGGTGGTGCAGTGGCTGAGAGTCCGCCTGCCGATGCAGGGGACACGGGTTCGTGCCCTGGTCCAGGAAGATCCCACATGCCGCAGAGCGGCTAGGCCCGTGAGCCATGGCCGCTGACAGCGCCTGTGCGTCTGGAGCCTGTGCTCCGCGATGGGAGAGGCCACAACAGTGAGAGGCCCGTGTACCGCAAAAAAACCCCAAAAAACAATGAAGTTTGCCACATTGATTGACTGACTCTTCCTTTCACAAATTATTTCTCTGTAACATGCAATTCAGTCCCATCTTCAGGCTCCACTTCTAATTCTAGTTCTTTAGCTGTTTGCACCACATCTGCAGTTACTTCCTCTACTGAAGTCTTGAACCCCTCAAAGTCATCCATGAGGGTTGGAATCAACTCTTTCCAAACTCCTGTTAATGTTGATTTTTTTTTTTTTACCTCTCTCCATGAATCACAGATGTTCTTAATGGCATCCAGAATGGTGAATCCTTTCCAGAAGGTTTTCAATTTGCTTTGCCCAGATCCATCAAAGGAATCACTACGTGTGGCCTTATGAAAAGTATTTCTTAAATAATAAGATTTGAAAGTTGAAATTACTCCTTGATCCGTAGGCTGCAGAAGGGATGTTGTGTTAGAAGGAGTGGAAACAACATTAATCTCACTGTACATCTCCGTCAGAGCTCTTGGGTGGTGACCAGGTGCATTGTCAGTGAGTAGTAATACTTTGAAAGGAATCTTTTTTTCTGAGCAATGTGTCTCAACAGTAGGCTTAAAATATTCAGTAAACCATGTTGTAAGCAGACGCGCTGTCATCCAGGCTTTGTTGTTCCATTTATAGAACACAGGCAGAGCCCTAGGATTTTCGGAATGGTAAATGAGCATTAGCTCCAACTTAAAGTCACCAGCTGCATTAGCCCCTAACAAGGGAGTCAGCCTGTCCTTTGAAGCCAGGCATTAACCTCTCCTCTCTAGCT